TGACCCATCATCTCAGTGAAAGGTTTCTAGTTGATGCAGTATGTTTTTAATTGACTTTGATAGCCCCCAAAAACCCAAAAGAGTGGCAAGGGGAATCGTAGGGTAGATTCTGCCACGCTATACTGCAGTTAATCCTCAGCTCATCAGTGTGAATTACAGGTCAAACTCCGGGAGGATGGTCTCTGAGAGACACCTCCCCTGTCCTACAACCGTTCACCACAAATATTGTAGGTGCACTTTTCAGAGAAAGAAGGATTTTATTAGGAGAAGATGCAATGGCTGCATTATAATTTGCCCACATTGGCGTTGTGCATTCGTATGTCTCAGTTGTGGGCCACAAGCCTGTTGGAAGAGACGCTGGCCAACTCGGAGCAAAGCGTTGATCCCAGGTTTGCAGAATGTAGGCTTTAAATACTACAGCTAGCATAGCATGCTTTGCATCACTTCATTAGCAAGCTCTAAAAAATTCTGCCCTAATACGAACACTAAGGCATTAGATCATACCAAATCCAAATTCATAACAAATTTAGATCCCAGCATGGTCTTTTCTCCTGTTGTTTTTCTTCATCGCACACTTTGTAATCATTTTTTCTCCTTGAACTTGAAGGTTTTAATCTGGTTTGGTTCAGCTGTATTTTTCTATCTTATCAACGTCCTAAAGTAATAGACAGGCATAATTACTGAGTTATCTGACTATTTTATGTCCTTATTTAAATGTCTGTGTATTGCCAAAGACCATGCTTACATGTTCCACGTTTGGTGTTTGATCCTGTTGTAACAAATTATAAACATCACCAAGTAATTTTCAGAATGGAGAATGGATTTAATTTTCCACTGGGCACGTGTTTTATGGACTGGCTTCTGTGTTTTGCTGCAAACGCCCATCATCCTTTCGGCATACATAAGAGGGTGATGGCACCTCACAAAAGCAACAGGAGGGAAACTACCCTAAAGCAGTAGCACTAGAGGTGCTCGATTTGATTGTGAGGACTATGGACAGATTGTGTTCTGATGACACTACAAAAGGTAGAGGAATATTTTATCTTTTGAAAATGTCTGCCTGAAATTCTCGACAGCATATGGCCAGTAAGGCCATGAGAGAAAGAGCAGTTGTTCTCTCAGTGAAAACTGTTACTCAGCAAAAACAGAACTGGAAACTGTATTTTATAATTAACTTAATTTGGTGTCACATTCTGCTTTCGAGTTGAACTTTAGATCCTTGCAAACTTGAAAGTACAGGAGAGTTTTCTGGGGCTCACAGTTAGTCGTTGCTGTTATTCCAGAGATGTTCCTGGATGTTTCAGTCAGGGATCTGAATAGTTCTGGCATTTGTACCCACCAGACTTTGTTACTGCATTTGTCTCACAGCTTTTAAACAGCAGAAAACATGTACAACGTATTTAAACAACACCAGAGAAATTAAGGTCATGAGAATGCATTGTCAACAAATGAAGATAAAAAAGAGCTGTTGTTCAAAAAAAAAAAAAAAAAATTGTTGTTGCAAGACGCTTTTGAAATTCTACATACCAAATTCAGAGTCATGTTGATGATTTATTCTAATGTAGGAAAACATCATCAAGAGTGACAAGCAAGCTAGTCACTGTCTAGTCACCTGCCAGCAAATATTTCATAAAGACTAAAAAGGCTGGTACTGCCTTGCTGAGCTGACACTAATTATTTCAGTATACATGGAGCTTTGGGATTCGTGTTAATTCTCAAGTCTGTCTTTAGTTCAGACTCATTCCACTGTGTAAACTCAGCAGAGCACAAATTATTTGACCACCCTTTCATAATCTGTCCCTACGCTCCCTTGCCAATTATATAAACTGATCCAAATACCTGCTCTCAAAGGATCGCCATTTGGGAATCTCAAGCCAATTAAAAAAAAAGGGGGGATATCCACTTTTCTGTAGCTCATGTCTGGTAGTCCTATTTCGTGTTGACATTCATTTCTGGGTATCTTCTTTAGATAACATTGTTTTCATCAGTGTTCAGAAAAGATACCTTTCTGGTGACAAAACCCTTTTTAGATGAAAAGTCTATCAGCTGTAGCATATTGCATCCCATAGGAAGGATGAGCTCAACAGTACCTACCAATATCCTGAATATCCCGAGAAAGTCTCTCACTGCCACATCATGATTCTGTTTCTTTGGTCATTACACACTTAAGTGAGTATTTTTAGAACAACATCTAAATATTGAACAGTGGTGTAGTGATCTTGCAGCAGCTTAGTGATGACGCTTGTTGAAGGTGTATAAAACAGCATTCAGGCAAACACAAAACAGCAGTCACCTTGGTGGCATGAGTTAGTGAGAGAGGATTTGAGAAAAGTGCCTATGTGTGTGACTGAAAAAGACTGTATTTGTCTGTTCTATGAAAATTCAGCTCTGGAGCTGGCTCATTTTTAAGGTTTGCAGTAAAAATAGCTGCATTTTTGCACAAACGCTTCCAACCATTGCAGCCAGTGGATGTCTGCCCCCCCCAGGTAACACGGATCAGAGCCATGATCAAGCCGTGAGAATGGCCTCCTTGCTGCTATGCCCAGCTCTCGGCGTCCAAAAGGTCCACACAGCTTTGGAGCCACCACTCGGTTCCACATACCGTTTAGTTTTCATATATTATATAATTTCGAGGTGACTGCCGGCTTCATTGCACTTCCATATCAAGAATTAAAATGTGCTAGTAGATGGATTTATAAACTATAAACCCCGAAGCAATGATTCCCACTGAAATCAGTGCCCACAGATAACTGCTTGCAAATGTTTGTAGGATGTTTGAGTTTGTACGTTTGGAGTAAGACAAAAAGTGAGCGTGGCTTAAAATTGCAGGAGCCTCAGAGAATACTTTGATGGTTTTTCCTACGGTGTTCTTGGGTTTTGGGGCATTGGTTTTTGGCTGGGGGTTCTTGAGAAAAATAGCTGAAAACTGTAAAATTCAGAGAATAATATCCCCACTGGATCTCATCTCAAGTGAAGAGAATGTGGTTTGCAATCTTTCTGATTTACAAAAATGTAAACATTTTCTGATGGGAGTGCAGGTCACCATATGGTAAAAAAAGCTTGTCTTTGTTAGTTACCTTTTCTGCAGACTTTCCAGAAGTAATGCCTGGAATCCTAGAAGGCCACAGAGTGTTTAAGTATTGGGACTGGCTAACGTCTCAAGAGCCTCTCCAAACCTACATTTCATTGATGCATCATTCTATAAGGCAGAAATTTTCTAATAATGAACCAGACTCTTTAAGTCCAAACCATGGTCCCACCATTTCTATTTTTATGCCACAGCGTTTTAGTGTTTCCAACACCAAAGTGTGCCACAGGTAGAGTTTTGGGGTTGTGTGACAGGGTTTTGGTAGCAGGTAAGGGGCAGCAGGGCCAGATCCTGTGAGAAGCTGCTAGAAGCTTCCACAGCTCCAAGTGGGACCAACCTCTGGCCTAGGCCGAGCCCGTCACCGATGGCGGTAGCGCCTCTGGGAGAACAGATTTAAGAGGAGAAACCTGCAGCAGAGAGGGGAGTGGGATGTGAGAGAAAACCCTCTGCAGATACTGAGGTCAGTGAAGGAGGAGGAGGAGGAGGTGTGCCGGAGGAGGGGATGCCCCCACAGCCCGTGGTGAGGCGGCAGGCTGTGCCCCCCAGCCCATGGAGGGGAGCGGGGGAGCAGAGGCCCACCTGCAGCCTGGGGAGAGAGGAGCCCACGCCGGAGCAGGGGGATGGATGACCCCCAAGATGGCCGGGACTCCGTGGGAAAGACCATGCTGGAGCAGTCTGTGCCTGAAGGACTGCAGCCCGCGGAAAGGACCCACGCTGGAGCAGTTCATGAGGGACTGCAGCCCGTGGGAAGGACTCACATTGGAGAAGTTCGTGGAGGACTGTCTCCCGTGGGAGGGACCCCACGCTGGAGCAGGGGAAGAGTGAGGAGGAAGGAGCGGCAGAGACAACGTGTGATGAACCCCCATTCCCTCTCCCCCTGCGCCGCTGGGGGGAGGAGGGAGAGAAAATTGGGAGTGGAGTTGAGCTGGGAAGGAGTCGGGGGGAAGATGTTTTAAGATTTGGCTTTACTTCTCATTATCCTGGTTTGATTTCATTGGTAACAAATGAAATTGATTCTGGTTTTTTTCCCCAAGCCGAGTCTGTTTTTTCCCCGTGGCCATAACAGGTGAGTGATCCCTCCCTGTCCTTGTGTCAGCCCAGGAGCTTTTCTTTCTCTTTTCTGCTCCCCATCCCACCGGGGAGGAGGAGTGAGCGAGTGACCTCGTGGTGCTTTGTTGCCAGCTGGGCTTAAACCACAACAGCAGAATCCGTGGTTTAAAAAAAATCACAAAGAAGGACTCGGAGGCACCCGAAATAATGAAAACTGTTTACTGACTGGTATGTGTTACACTTCCCAGGCTGTGTGGGGAGATGCGTATTTGGGATTTGTGTTCAAAACCCCACTCTTATAAAAAGGTTCATTCCTCACGAAGCACTAAGAAGTTGAACTAATTCACCTTTGCAGGCATGGAGCTGACTCTCCCTCTGGTTGCGGTTTGTTTGGTTTGGCAGGATACGTCTGCAGAACCACAGACTGCAGGTTACTGTAACCCTGCTAATGCCAAGGAGCAGGGTAACTCCGTACTATAAAACTCGACCCATGACATAGGCTGTAAAGGAATTCTCTCCCTTTTTTTGTGTTCTGGTAGGTTACGTTTGTTAGAAATTTGCAGAAACTTCTTTACTCCAATGTGCTGCTAAATCTCCCTGCAGCTGGTATAATGAAGACGATATATTCTGGGAGGCATCTTGATTTGAGAGTGACAGCTCCATATATTTGTGAAAATGAAGTGGTAGCAGAGTTGCCAGTAAAGCAACTGTGTCTTTGTGATGCAGAAATATATCATGTTAATAAACGATAATTTTCACAGTTACATGTGACCATTTGCACGCAGGGAAGCGCCGCTGTTGGGAGAAGTCCTAAGAAGCAAGAAAGAAGCTAAGTGGTTTTGCTTTCTTGTTTCCAAAACAGCCGAAAGGAAGGAAGACCGTGCCCGGAGAACTGGTGCAGCAGCAAAGCGACACGCTGCTCCCATGGCGCCAGCATCAGAGCGCTAATGGCCTGCGGCGGCAAAAGCGAGACTGGGTCATCCCACCAATCAATGTGCCAGAAAACTCCAGAGGACCCTTTCCGCAGCAGCTGGTTCGGGTAAGTTAAAAAAAGAAACAGAAATAATAATAATAATGGTAATCTTGCAGTGGGTCTAGTGAAGCGGTAGGTGTGGTCCAAGCTCATGGCCATGGGAAGTCTGGCTCAAAGTACAGGCTCTCTGCTTTTCCTTCCTCATGCGAGAAAAGTTGCCTTTTACACGCTGCTAAAACGCGTCTTTTCCAAAGCGACTTGCCCCAGTTTTCCCTCCCCCAGCTGAACGGCAGCCTAATCGCCTCCTTCCAGCCAGTCCCTCAAGAGACGCTGGCGTTGCTGCCAAGATGGCACTTTGCCCACGCTCTCATCCAGAAAACGGCTGCAGGTGTAAAGCTGGGCTTGGTGACACCCAGCGACGAGGGGGTGCTGCATCCTTCCCTTCCTTCGCAGAGCCGGAGTACAGATGCGTGGCGGGGCTCAAGGAGGTTGGCTGCCTGCCGCTGCTGCAGATGGATCCCTCATCCTCTGTATGTTGCTAGTTTCTTTCTTTACAAGGTTGATCTCTGAGATCAAGTTTACCCGTGTGGTTTTCTGTGATGATTACTGGATGACAGGAAAAGTAAAAGAAGGGAAAAGGGGCCTTTGACAGACACATTTGGTTGCTCTATTATTGCTGTTGGTAAGCGTTAGCAAAATACAAATACATGTTGCTATTCCTCTTGTGGGTGCTGGTTTCAGGTTTTGGAGCAGTAGAAAGATTAGCTGTAAAAAAAGAATTCCCTGGCAGACTTTTTCAGCTCTTCTTTTGGAAGAAAATGGCGACAATTATAAAATTTCAGAACTTATTTTGAGCAACAGTGGTGTGTCATTGGCATCCCTTCCCAGGAAGTTCACCTAGTCATCTTGAAACAGTGCCTGGATTCAAATGAGTTGTCATCATTACCTGTTTCACACTGATTAGCTGATACTCTTCTGCACAACCCACGTCTCGAGGAAGAAAGGAGCTTGCTGAGTCCTTTAGACGTTCAGGTGAACTTTGAAGTGACTCATGCAATGACTGAAGGTGCATGTTTCCAATTCAACAAGTATTGGGTAGACTTGAATTGTTGGTGTAATTTCTTTGTGCAATTAGGGAAGTACGACAAGGAATAAAAAAGTAGCAGGTGCGAAATATTTTTATGTCTGTCCTGGAAAAACAGGGAGGGAAGCCAAGGAGTCTTTGTATGGTCAGGAGTGCTGGGTATGGAGTGACCCATTAATGTGTAGCCCTGCTAAGTTGAAGAAATGTTTGAAGAGGAGAATAACCTGCTGTGTCAAAAATATCTTCCTAAATCAGATTAATAATTTAGATTAATTCCTGAATTCCTGTGAAAAATAAGCAAAGTACTTGCAAAATGAACTTACGCCCTGTCCCACTCCCTGCTGATTTCTTTTGAGCTTTGACTAGACAGCAAGAGGACTTGATTTATAAGGACTGAAATCTCTGTGGCACTTTTCCCCCCACAGACTGGAGATGAAACAGAAGGACTCAAGAATGCAAAACTCCAGTATTAATGAAAGTGACAAATAATAAATTTTATATAGGTACAGGAGAATTGATATTCATCACTTAAACTACCAGTAACCTTGGAAAGATAACCTAGCTGATGGAAACACAGAGCTCAGCGATATATTCCATTGCAGTTTTTAAATACAGATGCTAGAGGAAATGCTGAAAATGAAGTAAAAAATGGGGTGGGAAAGAAAGAAATGGCTTACAAAGGTCTGCTTTCCTTTTCACCTGACATACAGAAAGTATTGTAATGACAGGGAAGATTGTACAAAGAGTGCAACTTGATTAAGCGTGAGACCCCTGATGTTTCAGGCTTGGGTTGAGTTTCTGCTCTTCTGCAGCATCTGGCCCGTTTGCTGGCCCCTGAATGTGAAGCTTGGGTGATTCCTAGCAGGAGTTACAGCTTCCTCTGTTAGACTTTGCTCTTTAATTATCCAGAATAGGACAAATCAACATCTTCAAAGACCAGCACTATCTGATTATTTCCATCCATATAATCTTCAGATTGCCCCGGAGCATTCTGCTGTCTCCTAGATCTAGGTAACAGTTTTGATCTGATATCTCATGCTTTTGCTCACTGGGCACTGAATATTTTTGTGTCCATCTGCTCACAAACTGGAGCTAGAAGTGCACATGGGAAGTTACAGCTCAGATCCCATTTGTACAGAAAGAAGCCTGTCACAGTTTTCTCTGCTACTTTATATAAAGCGTTCAAACCTAACGCTAGTTCCTGGACACTGAACTTTTTTTGGTCCAGAGAGCTTACGTTTTATAGGTATAACTAATGGAAACCAGTCCCTCCATTATCTTTGGTTCTGGTTACCTCCAAGGAGAGGAGGGGACGGCATGAAAAATCTGAATATAAAAAAAACAAAAAGCCCTACCAGAAGTACATTTTCATAGTACCACTTGCTGTTTGCGTTTTTATAGGTCAGACTAATTTGAAATGCATAGGCAAATCTTTCGGGTTCCCTCCTACTCCTGCTTCCTATTGTGAAGGTAAAAATTCCATTTTATGGAAGTTGATTAGTTACTTGTCAGTATTTTTAGCAAGGCTGTGCCTGAATGAAGTTTAAATCATAGCAAAGGTGAATGCAGCTTGATGGGAGCCACATACCTCGAAATGCAGCCCTATCTGGTTCAGCTGAGATCAACTGTAATTCTCTGCTCATTAAACCATTTCATTCTGATAAAATACATTAAATGAAAAAGTTTTTAGAAAAAAAGAAAAAAGGAAGACATCACAACATTATCCCTGCCAAAAAAAACCTGTTAATTACAGGGAGGTTTCTTTCAAAGGAACATCCATGTCTGTTCATATACATCAACCACACTAACTAGGAAATGTATATCAGAAAAATGCTATGTAAAAAAATAATAATAGGAATTTCTGATTAGCTTTGGCTGCTGAAAAGATTTACTTATTCTTCAAAGCGTTTAAATAAACATCTGACGTATAAGCTAAAAATAATTTTTATTGGTATAAAAAATGTTTTGCAAATTTTAGTTTTGTCTTTGAGCTGAGAAAAGTTATCAAATTTTATTGATATACACTTATTTATTTTGCAAACATTTATGAAAATCTTGGGTTTAATTTCCTTGTGCTTCACTTCCACCTTTGTATTAGGAATAATATTTTACATGCTGTGAAATATTTTACTGTAGTGAGGATAATTTCATTACTAATTGTCAGGTACTCTCATTATTATAACTATGAGGTCCATAAAAATGCCTATTAAAAATACAAAAACAATATGATATCCCCCTCCTTCTCCAAGCAAATGACTCATGCAGGCACACTGATCAACTAAGATAATATATTAGTTGCACCCTTGCTGAGTACCATCTATTTTCTCACTGACTCATCCTTTTTAGCTACACGTGTAACTAATTCTTAATTATCTATTATCTAATTATCTATTAGCTAATCTTGTATTTCATCCTCTTTTGAACTTCAAAAAGTATCTCAGTTTTGGATCCACGTGCAAGTCTCTAGCTTCTTCTAATAGGAACCATGAGTCAGTTTTCAAGGCTGAAGTCTTGGCCCATCTCACTGGGCTGCATGAAAATCATTCATTTAAAAGACCGACGGTCTTGTGCAGGACCAGCCTTTGGTCATGGCATGCTCAGATAGCGGGCTCCTCCATCAATGACTGCAGCCATATTCACCTTTATGAATGCTTCAAACTTCCAACTTCGTCTCCGTGACCTTTATAGAGCTCTTATGAGCTGCCTGTCTCTAACTTCATCTGCATAGACCCTAATTTTTCCAGTTTACTTTTATTAAACTTGGAACTGAAAAAATGTGGTATTTGCCCATTAGATCTCCTAGGATAAATAAACAACTTGTTCATTCTCGTTACACCGGCATGAAAATCCACTGAGGATGACCGAGACAGGATCTTGGTGCTCTTACAAACTGCCTTGATTGCGTGCTACAGGCACAGCATGCTCTCTCATATCCGAGCGCTGGTAATCTCAGACACAAGAATACTAGAAATAATCTAATGTGTATAACAGGGAATAAGAGGGAAGAATGCCTTTTATGTAAATTTAATCAGAAAGTCCTGAAGTGGTTTGGAAAGTTGGCAGAATATAATATACCTGAAGACTCTTGCGTTGCTTCTTAGCAGAGGTGTCATTGATTGGTTGGGTTTTGTGCAGCACCGTGCATGTTAATGGAGCAGAGGGCTCTTCTCAGCGCACTGGAAAACCCTGCAGTGGACTCCTGGGTGGCTTTAGCCCATGTTAAGCTGTATGGTGAAATGGGATACTTAATATGAAAAGAGTTGATAGCACACTCAAGAACTCCACAGCCTGTCTGTGTGCCGTAGCCCATCCTGGCACAGGAACTCGGTGTAGTGAGACAGTTCTCCAAAAGTCTAAAAATCCCCATGTTGGAGATACACATGAGATATACTGAGCTGCGAAATCCCTGCCGGCTTGGACCATGGGCCCTCAATATTGCCATTTCCTTTGCTCATCATGGCTATTTCAGCAAGCACCTTTGCACTGTTTTAAATAGTTTTATTGTAGGAAATCCCTCATGCCTCCTCTATCAACCACATTGCTTACTGCTGTGAAATTGGCAGTTCAGAATCCATTAACTCCCAGCTGCAAGACAGATGGCATCTGTCTGTGGTGAGAGAAGGTTTGTTGAGAAAAGGCCTTGCAAATGCTTCCCAAAGGACATCAGACCTTACTTTTCCTGAGAGACACAGACAGCCTTGATTACAAATAGGCCTAGATCTTCCTTGTTCTTCACTGGAACAGGTGTTTCTTTTGCCTTACCAACCACAAAAAAAAAAAAAAATTTTGCTAGTTCTGGCTTTCAGTACGTCTTGTCTTTGGTACCCCTGGGAGCATCACCAGCTGAAATTCAGAAATTAGGCGATTTAGTCTTTATTGTGACAGCCAGACAGAGATAAGAAGGAGCAAGCCCAGAGGGTGGAGAGGAAATGGGACATTGTGCATGTTGTGTTGCTCTGGAGAGGCACAGCCTTTCTCTGAA